ACTGAACTTTTAATTAAAAAATAAAGAAAAAATTAAATTTTTTGTCATCAGTACAGGATGCAAATATTTATTATTCAATCTGAATTCATAAGAGTCTAAATACTTAATGAACCATGCAGTGCAGACTTAATCGCTCTGTAACTGTCATGGTTCTGGGTCTTGGATCCAGTGTTTCTGCACATTACTGCTTATTCAGAATATTCTATGTGATTCTGAGGTTCATGGCCTTCGGTTCTTAGTAATCTTAGAGTTCTTCCTCAGTCCTGTGTTTAGTCAGCCTGGTCTTCATGTTGTTTATCTCCCGTCTCCGTGTTTGATGTTCCCTTTCTGTCTTCTCAGTCAGTCATGTCTGTCTTTTCCCCGGCTCTCACTGTCCTGCCTGTGTGTCTTAGTCTTTGTTTATCGTACTTCCTGTTTTATTTTGACAGTCTCTTGTCCTGTGTACACTGTATCCTGTTTTCTTCCCCCTGTCCTGTTGGTCTGTATCGACCCCAGCTCTGTTTCCACCTGTAGCCCATCCTCTCATCATCCTGTGTGTGTTTAAGTCTCCTTCTGCTCGTTGTCATGTCTGTTTGTTGTGTTCACATGTCTGTGAACTCTGTATTTCCCCTCATCACCTCTGAGCCTCCCAGTTCTCTGTCACTCGTTCTCCAGTTTTTTGGTTGTTTCTGTTGTAGTATGGTGTTAGAGCAAACAAAGTTGCCTTCTTTAGTTACTCCCTTTGTTTCTAAGTGCATTTGGGTCCACGCTCTGCCTGCCACACAGTGTTACAGGACTTAATGTTGTAATATCTTTATCATACAATAAAAAGTCCCTTAAGAGAACTATAATTGTGAAGTTAGGTCAGCTAAATTGAAGTGATATACCTCCAATGTCAGGCCGTAGTTTGTTGTCATAACCTTGCAGCAGTTTATTAAGGATCAGCGTTACATCGCTCTCATAGACCTTTGGTGATAACACCCAGGTCTTATTTATGGGCACGTCCTCATAGTCCTCCTCGTCCTGTTTACTGGGTTCAATAGCTGAACTGTGGAAGAGAAAACACTGTAAAAATCAAACACACACACACTACTTTCTACATTGTAGCTACACACTGAGGACATTAAATATATGACACAACATATAAGGAATTGTGCAGCAAAGAAAAATGGATAAAAATGTTTATATTTCAGATTCCTGTAAGCAGCCGCCCTCTGCTTTGTTGACAGCGCTGCTAACCCTCAGCCTCTCAGTGAGCTTCATGATGTCATCACCTGAGATGGTTTCACCTCACAGGTGGGCCTGTCAGGCTCTGCCTCCCATTCTACTTTTAACCCTAAGAAGCACAAGTAAGTCTGCAGTCTGGCAGCAAAATGCTCAATTGGGCTGTACTACCAGGTCTTCAAGATAAGATGGGGCCTGATTATTCAATACCTTGTATGTGAGGAGCAGGATTTTAAATTTTATTCTGGATTTAATGTATTTAATGTAGTATTATAGGAGTATGGGAGAAATCTGCTCTCTCTTTCTAGTCCCTGTCAGGACTCTTGCTGCAGCATTTTGGATTAACTGAAGGCTTTTCAGGGAGTTTTTAGGACATCCTGATAATAATGAATTACAGTCGTCCAGCCTGGAAGTAATAAATCCCTAGCAAACGGCATGGGGACTGTAATTAATTTTAGATCACTTTAATAGTTAATTGCATACTGAGCACTCAGAATAAAATCAGTACAAAAGTTGTTGAGAGTTGTTTGTGCAGACTTAGTGGAAGGCCAAGTGTAGGAACTTAGCACGTAGCCTAAAGCAGATGACTCGTAATCTGGAGAGGAAATGGCGTGTCA